GCCAGGGTTTTATAGGCCCTGTAAGGACCCATTGCGTCACTCAGTCCTGCTTCGAAACTGATAGACTGACAGTTTCCTCGAAGCAGTATAGATCTCTATGCAGGGTGGCGCTGTCCAAATAGACACCTCTCACAATAATATAGAGGCAGAATATTTTAAAAAACTTATAGAATCAATATCGAAGCGACTTTCTGAAGCGATAAAACAAAAAGGGTACCCTACAAAATATTAACATTGATAAAATTATTAATTTTTGTAATGTGTGCCAATAATTTTGTGATGGCAATTGATGCATGGAATCATTTTATTTCATATTGTAGTATCGCGGGATAATAAACTTGGGTTTGGCTCAAACGTATTATCTGGAGAGCGTGCGGAAGGATGAATGACCGTGCGTAAGGATCGTGTGGACGGGATGTTTATGGAAGTATCGGTTGTAAGTGAAGAATGTCTAGGAATGCGTCTAAGTTTGAGCTACGTGACCCGCTGAGGGCAAGGCTGTAAGGAGTGCGTGAGAAAAGCGTGATTGGGAAAGAGAGCATGGGTATGGAAGATGATAGAGTGTATGGTTTTAAATAAGGGTACATGGGTGTGAAGCGAACAGTTGGAGGAGAAGTCTTAAGAGTGGTCAGAACAGAGTCGTGTAGAGAGGAGTTATAAGTTGTTAGTTGTTTAGTTGTATTTTAGTTGTAACGGGCTGAGTTGTCTTTGTGTTGTACAATTGAGTTGTAGTCTTAAGTTGTAGTTAATATATAAATTCGCATGCTTAATCATCACCACACATTGTTAATCCATTATATTCTATTACTAATAAATAGTTAGTATCATTTACCACCACCCAAGTCTCTACAATATTTTTTATAACTACAAGAAATAACGTTATTATTTTTTTCATAGTATTGTGTGTTTATGCTCTAAACTACGTATCTTAAATAAAAGGCTTGAAAAATCTTTTATTATTTCTTTTATCCTTCATATTCCTATCACTTTCTGTGTGTAGCAGAAATAATTTTGCACCAATAATTTTGTGACTCAAAGACAAACATAATTCTGTAATCTTAAAAATATTTATGTATAAAGGACATCCACTCATATTTACTATTTTACTCACTTTGTCTCAAAATTGTAAAATATCTAATTGCAAAGATGTTTCCTCTTGTAGTGAAAATTGAATTAGTGCTAATTTCGATTCATTTATGACAGCCTCTTCTATAATTTTGGTTAGAAATTTATTTAAAATAGATTGCAGATAATTCCTCCTATGCTTAGATATATCTAGTCCTATTTTTGGTTGTAAAAATTGCAAAGCACGCAAGAACACTTCTTTGTAATGTAGTCTTTGGACTGCTCTTTTAAATGCATTTATATAAAGCTTTTGAATACTGATATAAAATTCTATTATTCTAGTTTCGTTTTTGGATCTGTTTCTCAATTTTTAAATTGCTACTGCAGCTGCTTGGCCAATGAAAATCTCTTGGATATAGTAGTAAATTCTTTTCATTGTCAACATCAATTTTATGGACATTTTTCACATTCTCGGTATATTCGTTTTTTTTTAAATTACCACCTATGTTTCTAATAAACATGTAACATCAGGCATTAATCTGAACACAAATGTGCCTGAACCTTGGCCAATGTATATGGACTATTAAAATGTTCAAATATTACTAGAGCATCAGTGAAATTATTATGTGTGCATTTTTCTACAAAAGCGCTAAATAAAATGTCCAACTGATCCAGAATGCATTGAATATACTCTGATAATATTAACCACCTAGTAGGACATGACTAAATTATTTTTTCTGTGCAGCATTCATAATTTCTTGTGTACTAATTCTGTCTTTTGAAACACTTTAAAAAATAATTACTTATTAAATGCAAAAAATTATCTATATCAGAATATTAGAAGACATGCATGAAATCTCACCAAATGCATAGAATAGTAAATGCAAGAGAAAACAACAATATTTTTATTTGCTGTTAACAATCTTAATACTGAACTGTTTTAACATTATATTTGTATTATCTATAGATATCCCTGCAATATTGTTTAATGATAAATTATGTTCTTCTATGAAGAACAATAGGAATATAAAAAAAAAGGAATATAAAAAACATTGAAATAAATTTTCTGCTTTTTTAATTTGTATATAGTCCAATAAAAATGTTTAAATATTACTGTTGTGTACATGTATCTTACTAAAATACATAAACTTTTTGTTTCAGTGGCATCTGTGTTTTTGTTTAACACTATAGAAAAATATTTGTTTCACACTAATATTGCAATATTCTTTTCTATATGTTTAATTACGGTTTTTACTATAACGAAAACATTATTTCTCTTTAATTTAATTTCTTAAAAAACAATTGAATCTGATAATGCAATTTTATTCATAGCCTCAATCTGACTTTGCGAATTTCTTTTGCGAAAAGCTTTTCCTCTTCTAATTTTCTTATTGTTAGATCCATGTTTCCTTCATGTACTGTAGTCAATACACGTGGCTCTAACAATAAGATGTTTCTACGGACTGAAAAGTTTTGATTGTAGACTTTGCATCTGGCTAAGCATACATTTACATTTCTCTAGCCATTATGTGAAATGTGCTTCTTCGAGCTAAACATCTCAAAATGATTGCCTTCTAAACAATTTTTTAGGAGAAGAAGCCAGTTGTTATCATTATTAGCAACATCATTATATAAAGTTATGGTATAAGTTATTGTATAATGTGGAATGTTTTTGATTGTCCCTCAGTTAGAAATTAATGCAGTACCTTTTTTTTCCTTATTGTTGGCTACACTACAAACAGTAATCTGTGTTACTAACATCATTCTTTAGTAATAAGCTTTTAAGAGCGGGAAAATAAGTGTTTGATGGTTTCATATTGGAAACATTTCATAAATATATAAAGAATAATGTCAAGTCCTATGAGATTATCAGGTGCAGATAGTCCTGGGAGGACTCCTAGAAGACAAACACGGAGTTCAAGGTCTCCTGTTTTTGGTACTCCTCGTAAGTATTTATTTAAAGGTTATTTCGTATCTATTTTATTATACTTTATTATATTATGTACTTTTATATATTCTGTTATTCTAAACTTATATTATAAATATTATATACTCTTTTCGTAAATTTTTGTGTAAAAGGTAATGCAGTCCATACTGGAGTTGATAATGTAGAAACTCCATTAAGATGGGGCACTACTGGCACACGACAAAATGCTTTAGATTCTGGGAACAGAGCTGCTACAATTTTAGCTTCTTCTGAACGTGAAAGTGGTGCTGATTCTGGTGATCATTTTACGGATCAAATTAATGGATCAGAAAGTGGTTTGCAATTATCTTCTCCAATAAATTATGGCACACCAAGTTCATTGGGATCAATTCGTACTCCAAGAAGTGGAATCCGAGGCACTCCGATTAGACATAGACCTGATATTAATACAGATAAACGTTTACGTCAATTTACATTACAAGAACCTGTAAGTTTAAGATGATATTTGCTAAAATTTTTATAATATTGGTATTATTATAGTTGATCTTGAATTAAACAATTTAAAAACGTTCAATCTTTTTATAATTTTTTTTTAATAATTAGTTATTTTGAAATTATTTTATAAATTTGCTATAAATATATAACACTTTCAAACTATGTGCTATTATAAACAATTTTAATAAATATTTGAATTTCAATATTGTTAATGGCTTTTTGATAAAATATTTGATATAATAGTAATCAAAATTTATAAATAATTTATAAATATAATATTGTTTATTAATAATAAATTAACAATTATGGTAATAGATTTCAGAAGCACAAAATGGTACATCAGAAAGTGATACAGCTGGACCCCATTTGGTTGTTTGGGGAACAAATGTAGTTATAAGTCAGTGTAAAGAACAATTCAAATTATTTTTTCAACAATTTATTGACCCAGATGCAGAGAATGATGAATTACCAGAAAATATGAATCTATTGGAACCTTTGTATCTTCAAAAATTGGAAGAGATACATACTTTGGAAGAACCATATTTAAATGTCAATTGTGCTCATATAAAAACATTTGATAAACATCTTTATCAACAATTAGTTTCATATCCTCAAGAAGTAATTCCAACATTAGACATGGCAGCAAATGAATTATTCTTTGAAAAATTTCCAGCAGCTGTGTTAGAACATCAAATTCAAGTACGCCCCTATAATGTGGCTAATATTGCAACTATGAGGGGATTAAATCCATCTGATGTAGATCAATTAATTACAATACCAGGAATGGTAATTAGAGTATCACGATTAATTCCACAAATGCGAGAAGCTTATTTTAAATGTAGTGTTTGTGCTTTTACAACTCTCATAGAAATTGACAAAGGGAAAACAAAAGAACCTACAGTATGTGCACATTGCACACATAAATATTCTTTCACTTTAATACATAATTTGAGTCATTTCTCTGATAAACAAATGATTAAATTGCAAGAAGCCCCAGATGAGATGCCACAAGGACAGACTCCACATACTATAGTTTTATTTGCACACAATAATTTAGTAGATGCAGTGATGCCTGGAGATAGGGTTTCTGTTACTGGAATTTATAGAGCAGCAACTCATAAACCTAATTTTGAACATAATTTACAAGCTATTTATAAAACTTACATTGATGTAGTTCACTTTAGAAAACAAGATTCCAAGCGGTGAGAAAATCTATTAATTGTAGAATTAATAACTAAATAAATTTTAAAAATTTGACTTTATTAAGTAAACTTACTAAAATAGATTAAATAAGTTTATTTTGAATCATTCATAGGCTCTATGGTCAGGAAGATGGTAAAGAACATAATTTTACACCAGAAAGAATAGAAATTTTAAAATCACTGTCGCAGAAGAAGGATATCTATGATCGATTAGCAAGACATATTGCTCCTAGTATATATGCAAATAATGATGTGAAAAAAGGAATTATATTACAATTATTTGGTGGCACTAGAAAAGCTTCTACTGTACATGGCAAACATTTTCGACCTGATATCAATATATTACTCTGTGGTGATCCTGGAACAAGTAAATCACAACTATTGCAATATGTTTACAATTTGGTACCACGATCTCAATATACTAGTGGAAAAGGTAAGATAAGAATAAATATAATTTATTAGAAGCAAATCACCCGAATTAAATTTAAATATCAATTTAAATATCAATGTGTATGCATATATTATAAATATAATGTAAATATTTCAGGATCTAGTGCAGTTGGGTTAACAGCTTATGTTACAAAAGATCCAGAAACTGGACAATTGATATTGCAAACAGGAGCTTTGGGACTTGCAGACAATGGGATATGTTGCATTGACGAATTTGATAAAATGAATGAAAATGCAAGATCAGTACTACATGAAGTAATGGAACAACAAACTTTAAGCATTGCTAAAGCTGGAATTATTTGTCAGTTAAATGCTAGAACTAGTATACTTGCAGCTGCTAACCCATCTGAATCTCAATGGAATAAAAATAAAACTGTATATATTTTGTTAACTTTATATACGAATTGCAACTTAGTATTCATGATATGCATTATATTATAATATATATTTTAGGTGGTCGAAAATGTGAAATTACCACATACTCTCCTTTCTCGATTTGATTTAATTTTTTTGATACTAGATCCACAAAACGATACATATGATAATAAACTTGCAACTCATATGGTATCTTTATACTATAAAACATTAGAAGAAGATGAAGATGAACAAATAAATAGAAGTATTGTTCGAGATTATATAGTTTTTGCAAAAGAACATGTTCATCCTGTTCTCAATGAAGAAAGTCAACAAAGATTGATACAAGCTTATGTTGACATGAGAAGAGTTGGAAGGGGACGTGGACAAATAACTGCATATCCTAGACAATTAGAGTCTTTGATACGTTTATCTGAAGCACATGCTAAAGTACGTCTAAGTTCTATCGTGGAGTTGCAAGATGTAGAAGAAGCATGGAGGTTTGTAATCAGTAAAAGTAATAATATATATATATATATATATATACACATAATTTATATATATTTAATTTTCATTAATAGGTTGCACAGAGAAGCTTTAAAACAATCTGCAATTGATCCATTAAGTGGTAAAATAGACATAACTATTTTAACTACAGGTATATCTTCAGCAGCCAGAAAAAGAAAGAAAGAATTATGTGATGCACTTCAAAAACTTATTGAAAACAAAGATAAAGTTCATATACTTAATCAACAAAAAATCTTTGCTGAAATAAAGCAATCTTCTGAATTGGTTAGTAGAAATATATATATATATGTGATTCTTATAACATATAATTATAATTTTAATACAAAAATTGTACTATTATCTGTTTTAGCTAATTACTAGAGATATGTTTGAAGATGCTTTAAGAGAATTACAAGATAATGGATTAATAACAATAATAGGAAAAAGCAGTATTCGTATTTCTTAATGTATTTTGTATATTTCATTATTTTTTAATGGAATTTATAAATGAACAAAATGCGTATAATTGAAATAGCATTTTCCTTATCTTTTGTAAATTTATATTAAATATATTCTTTTTATAAATTTGTATTTTTCTTATTTCAGATAACATTCTCAATATCATCATTTTAAAAATTATGATTTACATTAAATTTTTTTATATAAATACATACAGTATTCTATCTATTACAAAAAAATTGTTAAATTATATTTATAAAAATATAATATGTATTATTCAAACTTCTATTTCAAATAAACAGATTTATTTGATATATAGTAAAAACTCTCAAAAATAAGAGAATGAAAAGTTTGTGAACTTCTCAAAGTAGAATAATCTATAACAAAACTGAGTTATATTTATAGAAAGTTAATATTACTAACATACTAATAGAAAATACTTAATCTTATAAAGAATTAATTAATTTGGTATTTTTTTATTACATATATCATACTTCTTTTTTATTATACTTATTTATTATTCTAATTAATATTTTGTAATTATATATAATTATTTGATTTATGTGATATATATCATGTATACGATACATCAGTATATACATATTTTTGTTATTATACTATTTCTTATTATAAATGTACATATAAATATGTAAGATGCTATTATATATTATTTTTTTTATAATACATATTTGTTATAATAAATGTAAATTAACTTTTAAATAATTTAAATATTCAGAAGAGTTGAAAAGAATATTAGATTATTATATACACATTATATTTTATTATCTAGTTTAATTTTATTGGTACATAATAATTAATATTTTGTCTTATTAAGATTGTACATAAAATTAAATTATATTCTTTATAATATCTCTTAAATTAAAACATTATAAATTTCTTATAAAAACGTTATTTTAATTCTAATCAATTTTCTACATTATTACTTAAATTGCTATTCACTTTTAAACTTCTATAAGTCGTCACACGTTTCTTCTAAGATATATGTATTACAAAATTTTCGCATATTCATAATATTGCATGCGTGCAAATTTTATTAAGCTGATGCGCATTCGTAAAAATCCCCTCCTATTACACTGCATTGGTTGTCATTCCAACTATTATTTTATGTGTATCTGATCCTCCATTTAAACAAATTCTTTTAAGTTAAATATATCTTCAAGATATTATTCATAAACACAGTAGAAAAGTAAAAAAGGATTCGCTTTAAATTTTTTGTGTTCATAGAAACACCATTTTGATTCTTTCAAAGTAAATAAAACCTTTAAGTCTACGTTCATTATTGAGGCCACATATTGAGGTCAGGAGTGCTGCATTCAACGAAAGACCCCCAACTGCGTTTTCTATTACAAAACAAGGACATCAACGACGTTATAATACATATTTATCTATTCCAGCTTTTATATTTTTACACAAATATTTTATAATTTTTCATTTACATCTTCTCCTCTTTTTCTTTGATTTACTCATCCTTCCATTTTATGATCCTTTTCTATCTTACTTTTGACACTACTTATTTATCTCTCTTGCGCCTATTTCCTTTATGTCCTCTCTTTCTATTTCACGACATTTCCACTCCTTGTCTGTCTCTCTTGATCTTTCCTGTTCTGTCGAATCGAACTAGCCTCCCTTCCTGCGAATTTACGTAGATATTTCTACTTGTGAACGGTTCCAACCTTCAGGATGCAGGCTATTAAATGTGTTGTTGTAGGAGACGGGTGAGTATTTTAAAACTTACTATAATGTTTCGTGATATGTTTGTCTTTTCTGTTTTCGATCCACATTACTTGATCTAAAGAATCATCAAAGTACCCCTTGGCGATTGGTTTTTCCTGATCAAGAACTATTTAAAAGCTAGTACCACACCCGTTATACTTTTTAATATATTTTTCCTCCCATATTTGAATCACTGTTAAAGGCTGATAAAGATCATTTTATTTTGAAATTATCAATTTGTAAATAATTTATCGTATCGAAATTTTATTTTGGTCTATGTTTTTTCTTTTCTTTTTATCTTTATTAAAATTTAATTCGAATTTGTATTATTCTATTATTTTTATCCTAGTACTCTTAAAATTTTTTGCGTGTGTTTCATTTATATTTAACCTTATTGTTATTAAGATTGTAATATATTTCTATATGTATAGTCAATTTAATTATTTTTAATTAATTAATTTCTATAGAGCAGTAGGTAAAACATGTCTCCTCATAAGTTATACTACCAATGCCTTCCCTGGGGAATATATTCCAACTGTATTTGACAATTATTCTGCAAATGTCATGGTGGATGGTAAACCAATAAACCTTGGTTTATGGGATACGGCAGGCCAAGAAGATTATGACAGATTAAGACCACTGTCTTACCCACAAACAGATGTCTTTCTGATCTGTTTTTCTCTTGTTAACCCGGCCAGTTTTGAAAATGTTCGTGCTAAATGGTATCCAGAAGTACGTCATCATTGTCCAGCTACTCCAATTATTTTAGTAGGGACTAAACTAGATTTACGTGAAGACAAGGAAACAATTGAACGATTAAAAGATAAAAAATTAGCACCTATTACATATCCTCAGGCATGTATTTATTTAATTTATTATGTATTTACTGCTACTTTATACTTAATTGTAATTTTAACTAATTTATATTAAATCATGTTTAGGGTTTGTCCATGGCAAAAGAAATTGGTGCTGTAAAATATTTAGAATGTTCTGCTCTTACTCAGAAAGGATTAAAAACAGTATTTGATGAAGCAATTCGTGCAGTATTGTGTCCTGTTCTTCAAGTGAAACCAAAACGCAGATGTTTCCTTCTATAATATTAAATGTCCAACGACGGTGGAGCATGTGCAAATGTACTACCCCTCCTCCGATCGGACTTGATTGCAACAGGAAATCTAACTTTGATTAAAAAACCCCGTTGTACGGTCCATCTCTCTACAAGCATCTGCCATAAAAGCGCACAAATCAATTTGTATAATGCGTATAAAAAGATAAAGAAGAAAATATACGCAATTTAAGTATTTTGGACATTAGTTGAATGTTCTAATGAGAGAAAGGAAGCCAAATGAAAACTGAACTGATAATGTACAGTATATTAGAGTGTGTTATTAATATTAGTTATTACTTATGAATTATAAGAAATTAAACATTATTCTGTATGTGTGCTTTTAAGCACACTAGATACTAATCAATTTAATAGAAGAGGTAAACCATTTTATGTAAATTTGCATTATATATTTTAGATGGAAGAAATATAATCACATTCTAAAATTTTTGGTACACAAAGAGATTGATGTAGTAAAACTATTAAGGTAAAAAATATGTGAATATTAATATTACATATTAAGGATTTGCTTCTAATTCTCTAATACAAGTTAACTTTTTTCAATTAATAATTTCAAATGTTATTAATTGATTATAGATAAATTGTAAATCATATTTTTTGTTATAAATTATAAAGATATACATTTGCAAATAACATGAAATGATTTCCACCTTTCAACTAAATTGGTTGATATTACTATATACATACCATGGAATAAGATAATCATGTAAGTTTTAGAAATGAGCGATATAAGTGTGATTTCAATTCTCTACCTCTATTGTATTTTCATGTTGTTGCAACTTTTCTATAATTGATACACACAACATGGCTAAAGAAATAAAATATCAGAGGTAGGGAAAATTAATGTGTGAATGAATGTTTAAGAGTGCATACAAAAACCAAGAGAGAAAGACAGAAGGAATTATTCTATAACAAATAATTGTACATAAATGGTAAAAGTTCAAACTGTATTCCTATCATTATCATTTTACATGTATAAGCTGCTGAATCTAAATCAGACGTTACTTGTTTTTTATATATATATTATAAATATATATAAAGTGGGGCTGGACCGAGATCTATTTCAATCGTCGCAGATCCACTGACCTGTGCAATCTATCCGGGGAATGGGGACTCAGTCCATAAAAAATATCATAGATACTGTAACTAAATATGCTTTATTAAATGGGTGTTTATTAAATTTTTCTATTTATTCATTATGCCGTTGTGTCAAAAAATGTATCAATTAATATAGATATTTGTTCAGGAGAGTATTTTATATATTTAGCTGGATTTTTAGAAAATGATATTCCACGGTATTTGTTATGAAAACTCGTATAGAGAGGAACAATAGCTTGTTGAAGTTCTTTTCGTAATTCTTCTCGTAATCGAGCGTCAGGTACAGAATAAGAGCGTTGACATTTTGCAACTTCTTCTAATTCTCTTGTAAATCCCCAAAATTTCTCCTTCAAAGATTTTGCTCCAGGTTCTATGAAAATAACAAGATTTATTAATCTCCACATTCAATATTTTTTTACTTATGTGTTATATAACTAACACATTACAATTGCCACAACTATATTAAATAATTTTTTGTATTTTTGATATTATGAGAAATTATTTCAAAAATATTACATAATTCATTATTACAAGTATTTGATATATACCAAATAAACAACATTAAACAAATTTCTTTTTCATTTAATATTATAAAATTTGTTAATATTTCCCAAAATACAGACCTGGTTCATCGAAGGGTTGTTCAAGATAAGCACGCGCTTTTGCAAAAGTAGTAGAAACATAATTAGCCTTATCACGTAATAAAAGATCATGGTATGTTTGTTCTGCACTAGGTTCTGCTAATAATAAAAGTTCCATTAAGGAACTGCGACGTAAAGCACTTACAACATGATTATGATTGTTTAAACGAAAAAGAGCTCTCAGTGCAATGTCTGAATATGAAGTATCACTTTTACTTACAAGCACCAAATTCAATTGTGCCAATACTTTTTCTGCAAATAAGAAAGGCATTAATGAACTGTACAATATTTTCATAACATATTTAAACATAAAAAAATAATGATACTAACTAATATAAGTGCCAAGAACAATTCTATACATGTTTTCTGTTTGTTTTACAGATGTTGTACCTTCCATATCTGAACTACGTCTTAAAACAGCTCCTGCTGTATCTGCATATTCTGCTAATTGTTCCAAAAAAACTAAAACATTACTTGTACTTTCTGCTACAGTGCCATCTTTAGGTAAAATTGAATTAGATTCATTCCTGACACTTTCTGCAAAATCTTCCAATGCTTTTGCTCCCTATATTGTTAAATTATACAATATGTAATTTAAAATAAAGTTTTCACTTTAGAATTGTATTGTGTTATAACATACAGTTATATTTAGAGTATTAAGCACAGAAGTGAATTTTGATCTAAGAGCATAGTCACAACCCTCAACAGTACGCTCTAAGTCTGGTTTTAGTTCTCCAAGATGTTTTAAAATAGGAAAAATCACTAAAACTGCTGAAAAGTCACGTCTTACGATACATCGTTTAGCTCGCGTTGCTATGCTCTCTCCATCATGAGCTACAAGATCCATAGCTTCTCGTACTGTAGCTTCTAGTACTTGTGCTTGTAAACTGATTGGTAAAATTTTTGCAACTAATGATCGTTCTGCTTGCATTAGTTTATGAAGACCAACTGTTAAGAGCAGATAATTCTCCATTTCTTGTTCATCTGGTGCTGTATCCTCTACAGAATGTCCAGATAATTGTGGTGGTGGCTTCCTAGATGTAGTTAAAGACAACCCCAAACCAGTAGTTTGAGAAGCCTTTAACAACATTCTACTAGCTTTTTTTTCTAAAGCATGTTGTAATCTTTTAGAAGCTCTTTTCCCACTAATTTCTTGGATCCCTAAAGAGTATCTATTGCCAAATTTTGTTTTCTATAAATTATAATACAATTATTGTTAAGTAAATAGTAAATACTTATAACTGAAAAGAATAAGTTATGATAAATCTCTTACTGGTAAAGGACTTCCTGCATGTGTACTACCACCGCTAGCACTTCTTTGATGTTCTTTTAATAACTGTAAAGACCTTAAAACAATTGCTGAACGTACAGATGCATAAATTTTTACATGTTTGCGATGTCCTCTCTCTTCTAACCATGCTGCAATTTTACATAAATCTCCTAAAATACTTTCTGGTAATTGACAAAGAGATTGTGGAGCATCTTCACCACTAGTATCTTCATCTGAACCAATTAAATCCAAAAGAACAATTGGAAGAATTGGTTTACTCTGTCTAGTTAAAATATCATGGAATTCTGCATATAAAGCATCTAAACCAACAACAAACAAACTTGTTATATTTTCTAATTCTACAGAACTGGGATTATTTTTTTGAAAATAACGTTGAGCATTGTAAAGACGATTCATTGCTTCCAAAAAATTATCTAATCCTCCAGATCCTCCCGGGCCAGCTCGAACTGTAACTTCTACTTCTTGACAAACTCCATAATATCCAATAGCATGATCTAAAGCATTCAATGTCATTTCTATATCTGTAAAAAACAAGAAGTAATTAAAATTATATTATTATACAATAAACTAAAAATTTTAAATGTTTACACAAGATGAGTCAGAGAAATGTTACAAACTGTTTCCTATGAAACTATTGTAAATATGAAGTTCAATTTTTTTTAAATTAAATAAGGTAAATAAGCTGCTCATTTAATGTGAAACAAATTTTATTAGATGTGACTTATGCTTTTTAAATAAGAGAATTCTCTTATTTAAAAAGCATTCTTTTTATTTCTCTCATTCTTTTTATTTAAATAGCTCTTATGGAACTTAATAATATTTATTTGAAACTTTGTTTTTGTTCTGCATAGTTTTATAGTATTATAATAGGAAATATACAATTCTATGAGAAAAATTTGAAATCAATATTTAGAAATATTTAAATAAAAATGTCCTAGGTCAAGAATTATTTTATTAAATGTTCAAAATGGTATCCTTGATCTTTTAAGTCTTTGATGAATATGATTTTAAATATTTAGTAACATTAATGAAATAGCCGATGTATATGCATTACTATTTTGTTTATATTTTCCTTTGTAAAAGCAATAATTAATTTTATCACTTAATATTATAATATTTATTTATAAAAAGAAGTTTATGTAATGGATACATTGCTTTAAGAATATTATTTTGAACATTTAATTAAATAATCTTTGATCCAGACCATATTTATTTTTATACTTATAAAAGCTTCTCTTGAAAAACATATACTTTGTGTTATAACTTCTTAACTATGCAAGATAAAAAAGAATGTTTCAAATAAACCATAACCAGTTTGACAAGAAACATGTAATTAAAAAAAAAAAATATATGTTATTCGATATAAATAGAATGCTATTACATTAAAAAAGTGTAGGAGATTTCTTTTTATATTCTTAGTACTTATCTCAAGCAAATTTGTTTCATACCAAATGATAAGCTGTTTCATCCTACTTAATCCGAAAAAGAATTGAAATTAATACTTACACTTTTTCAAAATTTCAAAGAAATTTGCTAACAATATTTTATATAGCTCACTCTATAGAATTAATAAGCAGGTACAATACACTAAATAAACTAAGAAACATCAATTAAAAACATCAAAGTAAAAGTAATTTCTCATTTAAAATATCTTAGTAAAATGACTTCGTTTGCAATAGAAGGATCTTATTATTAATGTCTTAACATATATTAGTTGCATTTAATTTTTAATAATATACTTTGTTGTTGTGCTTGAAGATTTCCTGTTTCATTATAAACTGGAAGTATAGTACAACGCAATGTAGCAAGACGTTGTTCTAAAGAAGACAAAATTCCCACAACATTATTGGTTAATTTTCTGCTTCGCTCTTCTGCTTCTTTCAATGCTTCTAAAGAAGCAATCTCTGCTTCCAATTTGCACTGTATTTCAAATCTTCGTTCAGAAGTATCTGCTTTCGCAGCATGCATCATTTTTCTAAAAATTACAAAATATATAACATAAATTGTAAACTATAATCAATTTTTTTAACAGTTAAAATTACATCATTAATTATTTAACATGTATGTTAGAAATGCATTAATAAATAGGTAACATAATGTTATTGTTAAAATTTCAAGACATTATTTTAATATTACTTAATATATTACAATATTATTTATTTGAAGTACACTATTACTTTTTACCTTTACAATTAACCAAATAATTATTAAATGATTATTACAGAAATATTATTTTCTATATATTAACAAATATAAAAACTTACAACTGCTGACGTAAAAAAGTCCTATTCAAATAATAAGTAGACTTTGATAATACAACTTTAGAATTTTAGAAAATACCACTAGCATAAATAAACTCTTTAATGTCATGTATCCTATATAGAATACTTAATGTTGATTAAAAATTAAACAAATAAATTTTTAAAATACATGAATTAAATATTTAACTATATTTTATTATATTTTTTAATTTAGTACCATACTATATCGTATTAAGTACGAAAGGATCCTAGCATAGATAAATATTAATTAAAAGATAATAAAGCATAATTACTAACAATTTTAATACAAATTTCATATCATTTACTAAAATTATAAAATTATAGCAAAAATGTAGTAGAAGTTATACGTAGATGTTTAGTATTCATTAATAAGTTGGTAATTCTGAAACTGACCAGCTGTTCTGAAAGTAATAAATCGACAAAGACAACGTAAACGAAGTATAAAAAATTGGATTGAACTTGAGTAGATGTCGTATATTCAAACTAAGTAGTTAACATTATTTAATTAACAAGGTTACGGAAGTAATAAATAAATAAAAAATAATTGAATTTACAGTATCAAAAATATTTTATGATACATAATTTCAAATAAATGTGTAATCTATTATCACATCTTAGTAAATTATAAGGTATTTATTTAATTACTTATTTAATTATTATTTATTTAATTAAGGCATATTTTTACTATATATAAATAGTGATAATCATAATTATATATTTATCAAAACCTGTAATTTTAATTTCATTAAAATAGTAAAATAATTTTTCATGTTTATTTTTAAGAAAGAAGTTATTACATAAATTATATTTATTCCATTTTTAGTAGCACTTGCAATATGGATAAACCTATATCCTCAGATATTGTACTCATTGGCGGTAATTCTCATCCAGAATTGGCTAATCTTATTGCCAAGTAAGTTTCTATAATTATTTATTAGCAGGTTTATTAGTAGGTTTATATAATTATGAATTATTTATAACCCTTTCGCTTTGTAGCCGATTAGGTGTTAAACATGGAGGATGTTCTGTATATCATAAGACAAATCGTGAAACTGTAGTTGAAATTGGAGACTCTGTACGTAGTAAAGATCTCTATATTATACAAACTGGGACAAAAGATGTAAACAATAATATAATGGAACTTTTAAGTATGGCATATGCATGTAAAACTTCTTCTGCAAAAAATATTGTTGGTGTCATTCCTTATTTACCTTATTCTAAGCAATGCAAAATGCGAAAACGAGGATGTATAGTTGCTAAACTGTTAGCAAAGATGCTTTGCAAAAGTGGTTTAACACATATAATTACAATGGATTTGCATCAAAAAGAAATACAAGGATTTTTTGATGTACCAGTGGACAATTTGCGTGCTAGCCCATTTTTGTTACAATATATACAAGAATCTGTGCGTAAGCAATACTGATAAAAATGATTACCATATATTTTCACAATTCCAATTTTTAATTTTATTTAAGCAGATACCAGACTATCATAATTCGGTGATAGTTGCAAGAAATCCAGGTAGTGCAAAGAAGGCAACTAGTTATGCAGAAAGATTACGTTTAGGAATAGCAGTAATTCATGGAGAACAACGAGAATCAGAGTCAGATATGAATGATGGACGCTATTCTCCACCTGCGCTAGCCTCACGAACAATGGAAGTTGGTGTTGGTGTTCCAATGCATCCTGCAAAAGAAAAGCCTCCAATTAATGTTGTAGGAGATGTAGGTGGACGTATAGCTATTATGGTGGTATGTAAATTTAAATATAGAAGTTAAGAAGTAAAAGAATGCTGTGTTAAATAACTTCTTTATTGTAGGATGATATGATAGATGATGTCCAATCTTATGTAGCAGCAGCAGAAGTTCTTAAAGAAAGGGGAGCATATAAAATTTATGTTTTAGCTACACATGGACTTTTAAGTTCTGATGCTCCAAGGTTAATAGAGGAATCTCCAATTGATGAGGTAATACAACATTTAACAGTCAATTTAAAAAATATATGTATACTTATTATATAAATCTTTTAGAAATTAACTTTACAATTTTTATTTTTAGGTTGTTGTTACAAATACAGTTCCTCATGATCTTCAAAAGATGCAATGCCCAAAAATAAAGACTGTTGATATCAGTATTTTGCTGGCAGAAGCTATTAGACGTATTCACAATAAAGAGTCTATGTCATACTTATTTAAAAATGTCACTTTGGAAGATTAAAAGCTTTGATGAAATAATTTCAAATATATTGAGAGTTTCAATATTTGAGGATTATATACAAGACATATCTATTAAATTTTGTTTATTATTTTATATTAGGGACAATTGAACATGCTAGTCTTTATTTAATTTAGATATATAATTGATTTACTTCATAATTTCCATATATTTAAATTTCTGTATAGCACATAACTGATAATTGATAAACATACATAAAGTGCATTAAAAGATTTTAATCTTAATTTTGATTGTATATTTTGGTCAATAAAGATTGCACTTTATAATAGAAAAATAATAAGTGCATTTGAAAATGTGAAGATTATAAATATATTGTTCTATATTGCTATAGTGTATAAAATAATAATGTAAATTTAACAAAAAACAGAATAATTCTTTTTCTTTCCTATATTTTTAATATGATTATTAGGTGAATAATTAGTGAACATTCAAATTAAACAAATTGATCAATAAATATGTTGCTATGACAATAGATCAAATATAGCTTCAAAGTTGGTGGTTTGTAAGTAGTTCTGAAATTTTTTAAATATTTTAAGCTTTTCAGAATGTCTGTGGAAGCTCAGGATTATGAATTTACTAGAATTTGTGTTATGTTACAATCGGAAGTAAAAAAACGACGAATACAGGGCTTGAAAGAAATTCTCAAACTGTTAGAATTACAACAGTGCGAAAATAAAATCTTGAGATTATGGAATATTATAAGTAAACCACTGTTGAGAATTTTAAATGATTCTGTAGAAGAATGTCGTGATCGAACACTGGAGATCGTTAAATTATTTATAACTAATTTAACACCGGATGATAAGTATATTATGTATCTTCTTCCAATTTTATCTAAAAGATTAGGTTCTTCTGAACAAATAGAAACCTCAGAAGAAGTACGACTGAAGTGTGTTATATTACTGCGAATAATAATATTAAAATATAAAAATTTATTAGCATCATATATCGATGATTTAACAAAAATTTTAATACAAACTATAACAGACAATTATCCGCTTGTTAAAAAAGAAAGCTGTGAGTGCATATCTGAATTTGCAAAAAATTTATCGAAATATTTTTACACGCAATCACAAAACTTTATAAAACCAATTCTGAAAAATATAACACACCAACATTATAAAATTAGAGTTGCCTTTATTAAAACAATAGGCGATTTAATTCAATATGGAAACAGTAAATTCATAGAGGAGATGGCTATTCCTTTGGCAGAACGATTATTTGATCAAAATGGCCTTGTTAGAGCAGGTATTTCCTCCCTATTTTTATTTTATAATCAATAGATTATAAATTACATTTGTTTTGATAAATTATATTTTAAATTATACCATTTTTTACAGCTGTAATAGAAGTAGCAGGCTGTTGGCTTTTAAAACTGAGAGATCGATATAGTTGGTGGCACAAAATTCTTCCATTACTCTTGACAGGTCTTCATGATGAATTAGAAGAAATAAGACAAAAAGCTGCAAACTTTTGGAATGCTGTAGGGCAGTTGTATATAAAAGAAAACCAGGAAGATGAAAAATTAAAAAATAAATTGGATTTTCTTCCCAAGGATTGCAACCATTATCCTAATAGTATGTTGAATAAATTGAAAATGAATTATTGTATTATTATTTACATTATTATTATTGTTGCAGTTATTAGACCAAATTTAGGATGCCGTATAATAGCACAACAAAGCTTCAACAAATTAATCAATGGAATTGCTTTGGAATTAACAGATTGGATTGTAGACATTAGAGTGCGAACTGCACAACTGCTTTGTGTTTTTATTTTAAATATAGAAGATGATGTAATACAACATATTGGAAAACTATTACCTCCCATGTATCGGTAAATATATACCAATAGAATATGAAGTATCAAAGAAATCTTAAAATAATTCTATTTTAAACTAATATGTGTTTCATAGAGCTTGTAATGATGAAGATAATAGAGTTGTACAAAATATAGAAAAAGCAGCAGAATATATAGGGTATTTTGTACCTCCAGAAATATATTGTCATTTGATACTTCCTACTCTTGAAGAAATTTCATCTGTAGGTCATTTAAAAGTTTTTTCTGCGATTTTAAAAGGTAGTGAACGTTATTCACTTCTTCCATTATTAGAAGATATTGGAAAATTTTTACAACAACCACAAATCTGTCAAAGCAAAAAAGGAGCATATCAGAAACAGATACTTTCTTGTTGTTCTTCCTTAATTTCTGTTTGCAAAGAGGTTTGTCATGTATATTTTAAATTTTATTAATTCTTAATACTTATAATAACAATAGTGATAAATATTTAACAATTTTTAGGATTGTAAACTAATATCAAAGGAATTATTTATGATAATATTTACTGTTCTATCTATGACACAAGAAAATTTAATAAAGTTGAAAGCACAAGAACTATTAAATACTGTTGCTAATATTGATTCAGTTGATAATTTTGATGAATTTTATAATAAACACATCAACCAATTATTTTCAATATTTTCTGATTGTAAATCATGGTCAATTCACGATTCAGAATCTCAAATATTTTGTGCATGTTTAATTTATGTTAGACAGATTTTGGCTTATAATATGGACGTGATATTACCAATTTTGAGAAAAACCATGACAAATGATGCCGATCCTGAATTGAGATTGAAACATTTTATTTTATTAACAGAATATTTTAATCGCGGATCTTTGAATGAAATTATGGATCTAGAATTCTCTAATCAATTTTTAGAAAATTGTATATTTCCTGGATTAGTTTGGACTGCAGGAAGAACTGCTGAAGCTATACGTACTGCTGCAGTATCTTGTTTATGTGTCTTTTTGAATCAATATGAAAAAGATCCTATTATAGAAAAAAACACAAATCATGGTGAACAAAATATTTGTTTTGTATTTGACAAAGTAATACCTATTTTAATTAGCCTTGCAGATGATAATTCTAAAAGAAGTAGATTTTATTCTGTACAAGCTATATATTTGATAATGTGTATTAGAAAACGATTTGATTATCTCACAGAAGAAAATATACATAAAATGTATCCTGTACTTCTAAAAAGACTAGATGATGGATGTGATGATGTTAGAATAATATCATTAGAAGCTTTAACAGAAGTTTGGAATGCAATACCTAAAAATTATGACTTACATTTCAATAAAGGACACATAGATACTATATATTAAATATTTTTTAGGAAATTTAAAAGAACTAGCCAAAGTGCATCCAGAACTATTACATCAAAAACTTCAAAAGTGTAAAACAAATTTTAGAAATCAAAGTGATATTGACACATTAATAAAACACTGTCAATGTATTTTGACAAACACGTAAGACAATTATCATATAAGAGCAATATTGTATATTAGATAGTGTTTATCACTACTACATATACAAATGTATACATTAATCAAATAAAATATACTATTTGCTGCAAATAAAAATTCATTAATTTGATTAAAATAAATTTTATTGGTAAAATTTTTAATATTGACTCACTTTAAGGTTATTTTAATTATTTAACGCGATGTATTAAATGAAACTACAACATTATGTGATAAAAATATGCACAAAAAACTGTTAATTAATTTATTACATAAATTAGTGTGTAAAAACAGATATCTATACACAAAACCGCGGGAAAATAATTCGTAGATTCGAAGAATATACAATTCCAGAAATTTTGATTATTTAAATAACTAAAAAATTAAATTAAATATAAAATTCAAGTAAATTGGAAAATTATATATCATTAAAATATAAATAAACTATTCTTTCTTAGTAAAAATAATGAACAAACAATTGGAAGGAAAAATTAACCTTAAAAAACTATTAAAACAGGAAGTACCCGCCCTTTTAGGGTCGCCATATTGTCCATGTCTTCCGCTTTCAGAGGCGATTCACAAAGGGGTGGCAAACAGGATTAAGAAATTGCCAATAATTCTGTATAAATTTTCATTTTTCAATCTCCATCTTACTATTTCATAATTGTGGTAAGTGTATTGTCTATATATTCTATTTCTTTTAACCAAAAAATATTTTTCATAAATTTTTTTTAGCTTCGTAAGTCTGTCCAAACATTTTTTACCTTTCTGTCACTTTCTTGACTCAACACTTTACTCCCTTATTTTATAATCGAATAATTACTTAATATTTCTTCCAAATATTTTGGTGATGTAAAAACGTGTAAAAAAGATAAAACGTACATAATTTATAATTCATTTTTCAATATTTGAACCTTCTAAAAATATTCTACAGAAGCATATCTACATGGTGATATGTATACGTCATAAATGTGTATTTGTACTGATGTTCGAATTTTATAACTTGACTAATTAAATATAGTGTTGTGTTAATTATTTTTAGAATTTCTGTATTCACTGTTAGTCATTAATTAAAGTTAACAACTAAATTTTCGTTTACTTTCTTGGTGCTCATAATGCAATAGTCTTCCAGTTTAAAATACTTTTGTTAAATGAGTGGAATATTTATAAAATCCATTATGTATCTAAATTCGTGACATAAAAATCCATCACAAAGTAATTGATACATTTGCATATTGCATACAATATTTAGTCTACTAATGTATGATATTTTTGTCATAGTAAACATGTCAGAACTTAATACCGATCACATTGACTCTGTAGAAGAAGAATTAGAAGTGGAATCTAATTACAAACCACCACCAGAAAAAACAATAGAACAAATTTTAGAAACAGATAAAGAAGATGAGAGTTTACGTAAGTATAAAGAAACGCTATTGGGAGAAGCGAAGTCTGGAGGTGTTGTTGTAGGTGCGTATTTCATTAAATGTTTACTATAAAATGTCTATAGGGAATGATAAATAAGAAAGATGATGTTCTAAAATTTTACAGATCCGAATGATCCCAGAAAAGTAATAGTAAAAAAATTAGCACTTTGTGTAGCAGATCGACCAGATATGGAATTAGATTTAACAGGTGATCTATCCCAGTTAAAGAAACAAACATTTGTAATAAAAGAAGGTGTTAGCTACAGAATCAGGATTGACTTCATTGTTCAACGTGAAATTGTGCATGGTCTGAAATATGTTCAAAAAACTTATCGTCTTGGAGTACCAGGTAAAATTTTCATTAAATATAAAATATTAATAATATTTTAACTTTCTTAATGCTAACACTATATTTTTAATTGTGATTATATTAAGTCACTAAAATATCATTTAATTATTCTATTCGATTTCTCTTGAATGCTTTCTTCCTTAGGTGTCACAGGTATTTTCAAATCTAATATTGAAAATTACATATTTGACCATTAACATGTTTATTAGTAATTTGTTTATTATGTTATTTTTTCAGTGGATAAAATGATGCATATGGTGGGTTCTTATCCACCAAAAACAGAAGTCCAATCATATACTACTCCAACAGAGGATGCACCAGCTGGAGTAATGGCACGTGGTTCTTATAGTGTAAGCTCTTTGTTTACTGATGATGACAAACATGAACACCTAAAGTGGGAGTGGTCATTTGAAATTAAGAAAGACTGGAAAGAATAAGCTCCCTTTCATAATGGGAAGCCCTACAACGATCGCAATTAAAATAAGAATGCCAAAAGGGACTCTAATTTTTATAGATATTCAGTCATACTGCGATGCCATAACTGTATTTTTTAAGTAATAAGAGAAAGAGTAACATTGATATTTATTTAGATACTTTTCCTAAATCGTAAACCTTAAAAGTGAACAATTGAGTACATGAATATATACATATATACACGCACATGCAACGATATGTATATGTGTATATATATTTATATAAATATATGTATATGTATGTATACACATACATATTGAATCACGTAGGTACTATTTTATAATCATTTAAATTGTGCACATCAGTCAGTATTCAATTGCCTTTATACTGTTGTTATTAATACACACTTTTTAATTTTTTCATCTAAGATCAATGTAAGATCTATTAGTATTATATTCTTAATACATTTTGCTGAAGATTACTGTCATAATTCAAATTTTTAATATATTTTGATTAACAAAAAGATGTTATTATTTTAATATTTTTTAATGTGCAAAGTAAAAAATAACTTAAAATTTAAAAATGTTAAGAAATAACAAATTTATACATACATTATTAATGTAGAAAATTTAAATGGTGCACTCCAAATATTTCTTTATCATATATATCCATTATTACTTTTTATTATATTCGTTATATTCATGTTAGTCTTAAATTGTTTTAAAAGGAAACAATCTCTCATGCAATAGAAATTTTTTATAATCATTTGTGTCAAAATTAAAATTAAAAATCTAAAGTATTTTATTTCTTTTGTTTTAAGATTTATAATACGAAATAATAGTGGTTTTATGAAATATGATTCTTTAGAAACAGTTTTATAATGTAACTTAACAGAAATTGCAATAAGTATTGCAATTGTAATTCTAAATACAATAAAGACAAGGATTCAAATTATTTTCCAGCTACAGTTTAGAAAAGACAAATTTAACATAGAAGTTTTTTTTTTTTTTTCTTTTTTTGGCAATTTTTCTTTACTGTGCATGGTATGGTGTAATAAATGTATGCATTTAACACGAGTCCCTTTTCAAACCTATGTGTAATGCAATATTAAGTTTTAATTAAAGGGACTAAAAGATTGTTATTGAAAAATGTTATTTTAGAGTATTGTTCATTTTTCTATCTTTTTTATATTTTCTGTAAAAATAATGATCAATGAATTAAAATTATAGTACCTTTCCTATTTGTTTCATCAATAGTACTAATAAAACATTAGAATTAAAAATAAAAAAAAATTCAATTTTAAAAGTTGGAAACCTATTACTAATTAAGAATGTACTAAAGTAAGTTATTTCAAATTCTAAAATTAAATACTTGTTAACCTATAATTTTTAGGTTATACTACATAAGTAAATATAATAAAATTAAAGATGTAGTAAGAATGCACGTTAGCAAATTGTTTGCAATTAATGTATTATAAATTTTGTATTATTTTATGTTTTAGTTTTATATTATATTTTATTAAATTCAATTAATATATGTTTTATTTAAAAATAAAATTTGATATTTTATTGTAAGAAATTATATGTAATAGCTTTACATATGATGTTGAATGTTTAGAATGTTCGTGAATGTATAAATGATTAGTTGAATTATATGAACTGTCTTAAAAATCACAATTTAGATTTTATAAATATTTAGAAAATAAACATTACGCTTCATTTATGACGATTATATAATTTTTTTAATTATGTTTCATACCCAAGTAAAATAATGAAATAAATATACATGCTTAAATAATTATGTTATATTAATGTATGAAGCAATCTAATTCCAAATATTATCAATTTAATTTTTTCTATTATAATATTTAAAAAATTATTTTTAACAAATACTAATTTTATACACGAATTAAATGATTATTCATTTCTTAGTTCGTTTTGAATGTTGTAACTTCCCTTTTAACCACATAACTAAAAATAACCTAATTGATTAAATTTATAAATATTAGAATAAATTGTGATTTTAATGATAATAATTATTTTTTAAAAATAAAAAATTTATCATAGTTTACTTACAAAGTTTAAATGAATGTACTGGAAATAAAATTTTACTGATTTTAGGAAAATTACTGCAATTTTATTCCATGAAAGGGTAAATTATTTATTGATCAAAATGTGAATTAGTTTTTACTTCCATCTTTGAATGATATTAATAATATTCTGATCTAAATGGTAGGCAAAGGATTATTACATATATTTTATTTTATATATCTTTTTAGTATTAAGAAAATCGAACTTTAAAATGTTTGCCAATTTATGTAATTTATTTGTATAATGTATCAAATACATTGGAGTGCAGATGGATTCTTCTATCCTTCTATCCTTTCGTTGTGGTTGTTCTGAAACAAATCTTTTTTTTAATTTTAATAAATTTTTTTACAAAACTTTTGAATTAAAAAGAAACACTTCGGAACGACACCGACCATTTTCACTTTTAGATTTGGCACAATTGTTTTTGTAGTATTCGAGATATGAAAATGCTATCTTTTCCTTTAATACCTGTTATTTTTTGAAAATTAAAGAACCAAAAATGGCCACAGACCACAGACAACACTAATTGCACAATTGGTCTAAGCAAGATGAGAAAGATCTTCTTGACAAAACAAAGAAAATCACACCACCAAATTCACGATCAACTTCACGAGAAAACTTGTGTTCAACCCATGCGACCATACGTCAAGTCACAGCATGCATCTTTTTTTAATGATATAATTAAACTTTCCTACATAATGATCATATTTTCTTTTGATACCACTGAAATTAACTAAATATTTCTTCTTGTAAAATTTTCTTTTTCTATTAAAGAAGTCGTTACATCTTTAAATGCCACTGAAATCATTAACGCATCTTCCTGTTAAAATCATTTACATTTCTAATGTAACAATCATTACTTTCATTTGACGCCACTGAAACTTTGGTAGGTGAAGTAGGAATAATGAACGCATTGACTCAGCGTAATAGTCATCTATTTGTTGTTCCGACACTATTGTATTATTAAACCACTGCACCTTTGGTTGCGCCATGCTATAACGCACTTTTAAAATAGCATTTTAAAAGAGCGTCATAGTGTTGGTCGCCAAGCACAAACACTTGGATTTTTTTTTACATTTCACTGTACACGTTCTGCTTTTTTCTTCTATACTTTTCAAATATTCATCACCAAACACTGTCTTTTTAAATTCTGTGCTTTTTCACTGAGAAAAAAGCACAGAGAGCTATTTAAGGATGCTGTCCATACACTTTCTTTAGTTCACTTTTCAGAACACGTCCGCACAATTCACTTATATAAGTATTGTATGTATATATCACACGGATAATTCTATATAATCATAAAATGCAGCTTTACATTTAACTAGGCTTAATTACTGTATCAAATATAGCTTTAACCAGATCTTTCATATTTCACCTTTATCTTGATCAAGATTTATGTTTTAAAAGAAGATTCAATGTGAAATTTAAAAATAAGATATTTCTTAGGAGATTTCACTTGAATATGAAAGAACGGCGTGTGTATGTGTGTTGTGTGTGCGCGCATACGCGCGTGTGTATGTGCTATATATATATATA